GTGCAAGGAAATTGAAAATAACATGTGCACGATGTTGGTAGCAAAAAACACATTTATACGCAAGTATCAAAATACATTAATAAATTTCAATACGTTCAATTATAAATGATTATATTGTACTGTCGCTGTCCACGTTGAATCAGGTGTCTTTAAGCGTTCGCACGAACAATTTATTTATTCGTTTCGAAGTTCATCGATGATTTGTTTCGAAATTTCGTGCCAATTACCATCGTTGATATTTCACTGCGTGAAGCTCGACATTCGGGCGTAAGAAAAAAATACGTGAAATACCAATAACCGCGAGAAATAACGTAAAATAGCACGCGCGAAGCAAATGAAAAGAGAAAAATAAAATAACCGCGCAAGATAAACAAGAAGGAATGAGACAATCACGAGACAGAAGAGAAGTGAATAAAACCTGCGATCAAAAAAAAAAAAAAAAAAAAAGAAGAAGAAGAACCAGCACGAGAGGAGCGTAGAAAAATAATCGTTTACGTAACCGCACAGTGGGAGGAAAGGAAGAGGAGCAGTAGTTCCAAAAATTGAGCCCTCTCGGGGTTCGAAAGGCACACCGGCGCTATCCAGTAATCTCCAACCTGCGCCGTATCATTAGAAGATTACAAATCCTCGAGGATCCATCCTCCATCAGATTGTTATTCCTTTTCGGAGCATCGAATCCCTATTCGACAACCACCGCGACTCTCTTTCTCTCTCTCTCTCTCTCTCTCGAGGATCGTTCCTTACGACGATAAAGGAGAAGACGGTCGTCGAAAGGAGAAAGAAAGAAAGTGAAGCTAGGCAGATGCGTTTCTGTCAAAACACGCGCGAGGAAGAAAACGAGAAGTGTCAAGTCAAGGCTCGTGTCTTCAACCTTGTCTTTCTCGCCGAGGATCTGTTTGTATCCAGGGAAGAAGTGCCTCCCATTTTGTGCACGAAATTAGATTCTGAGATTGGTTGCAAACGAGGTGCCATTCGGAAAATGAAATGGATCGGTTCGAACGATCGCGAGAGCTGAACTTTCGCTAGTTTTTCGTTACGCTGTTGTCACTTATTAATGGTAAATAAAGATTTCTGTTTTCTTCTTTTTTGTTTAAAGAAGCTCGTTTCGATTATATCTGTCTCATTTTTTTTAAAATGATGTTGGAACACATTTTCCCATCTGTTTTTATTAACATTCGTGTGATACACGAAAGTGTAGATATAATAATTTCGAAACTTTTAGATTAGTAAGCGTGACGCTTTCTATTTCAGTACGAAATTATCAAAGATTGATGAATATTTTTTTCATAGAATTACAAAGTGTGAATTGTTTTCCTTGGTTGGTGGTGTTTCATTATCGTTCTTACGGTTTCTAAAACAGTGCTTATCGAACAGCTCGCGCCTAACTTCCTGTGGTCGGTTGATAAAACGGTATCGCACCTCGTTACAGTTTACCGAAATCGCAGCCGTTTGCCTGTTCATTGAACGAGATGACTCCGCCACAGGAACCACGCGCCTCCGATAAAAATTCCCTGTTTTCCAATCGTGCGAAGCCAGAAAATTAAAAAAAAAAAAAAAAAAAAAAAAAAAAAAAAAAAAAAAAAAAAAAAAGAAAAAGAAGGGAAAACCTTGAAACTTTCGATTAAAAGTGACACAGTTTAAAATCGAAATTGCGTTTAGTATTTCGGTGAAACATTTTCAATGAAATATTCACGATTTTACCCATAAACGAATACACTTCAATTTTAAGGGCTTTTATCCGAGAAATGTTGAAGTTGAAAAGGGCCGAGCAGGAATTCGTTCGAGGGGGGAGAGAGGTGTATCGTTTTGGGCTCGTGTATCGTTTTGTATTTGTTGAAAACAGTCGTATTGTCCGCGGGGGGTGAGGAAAAATTCGGCGACCCGACCCTGTAGGCACTCGTCGCATCTGCCTTCGATTTATTTCCGATCGTAATTGATGACTGCTGGCGCTCCTCTCCTCTCCAGGGCACCTTTCTCCACCGAGATCCTTCGAGTGGGCCGATTTGAAAAGCACACGGGGAAACCGTGTCAAGATTTTGCATAATAGGAGGCAAAAGTCACGCTCCTGCCAATAAATTATGCTCGGCCCATTATACGTATAACATTCCGGCCACTTTCTACTGCTCGGCGATTTATTTTTGAAAAGGGTAGGAGTACTCGAGTAAATATTAGACGGCCAGTGAAATTTCGCTTCGAGACAAAAGGGAAATGGAGCGGGAAGGCTTTCAGTTCTTCTTCGAATCAACAGAATTTGCCAGCTACCACCGGAATCTCGGTTTTATGATGTTTGAAGCAGTTTGAAATGAGTTTGAAAGACGAGTGACCAAACGATAATTCGTCGTCTTTTCGAATTCGTCGGTATATATCACTGAATGGAAATTACCAAAAAGGAAAAAAGTAATAAATTTATTATTTGTTTTGCCTAATATTCCCGACGTCATTTAATAACTTTCTGTATAATGTATAAACTCGTTTCTCTTCGTTTGTACATTGAATTTCTCGTTGTGCAAACAAACGTGCGAAGCTGCGTTCCTATTTTTTAACCGTGTCGATCTGCGTTTACTTTACTCGGTGGTAGAACCAGAGTAAAAGTCGAAAGTCGACCCGAGGGTGGCGATTTTTCCGTTGGTTTCGCGATCTCGAAGGATCGTTCGTGGGAAGTGACAACGGTCCTTGGTTCCCCCAGTATCGTTTCGCCGCCAGTTATGGCTTCATACAAGAATTCCGACGGTTCGCATTATCGTCTTACATCCGTGGCCAATACATACCTGCCCGATCGTTGCTTCTTTTCGAAATTTTCAGTTTTTTCGAGAGATGCGAAAATTTCTCCTCTCACTCCACGAACGTTTCAACGCTGTTGTTTTTCATCGATGTCATCGGATCTATTCTCCAGACACACTCGCACAGTTTTTTACCAATTTGAGGAAGGGAACAGTCGAGATCGATGTTGATCAGATGGCGAAAGTTACAAACGAGTCCTCGTGTCCTATTTAGAACGAAGGAATTCAACGTCGTGCGATGAACGGTTTAGCAGTAAACCCTTTCGAAACAATAAAAGCAGATTTACCAGGGAGATTTCCGAGCGATTCCCATTTGATAGGATCAACGGCGCGATACTCCTGTATTTCTACGCTCGAACGCCCACCGTATTATTCCAGAAAATAACCCCCCCTAACGCAGCGCCCTTTGCCACGTGAATACACGAGCGTTCGCCACATGCATACATGTGTAATATATATATATATATATATATATATACGAACGTGCACGTGTTCGGGAGTATTAGTCGATCGAACACGGCTGAAATCGGCCGTGATTTCTTCGATCGTCCAACTCCCTTCTTTCTATTGCTTCTCGAATGATTTTATAATAATTATTATACTTTATTATTATACATATTACGTTATTACATAAATCGTAATATAATAATTATTATATAATATATAATATAATATATATAATAATTATAATAATTTTTATATTATTTATAATAATTACAATTATTATATTATAATAATATTATTATAATATAATATAATATAATATGTATAATAATTACTATATTATATATAATATAATATATATAATAATTATAATAATTTTTATATTATTTATAATTACAATTATTATATTATGTATAATATAATATATATAATAATTATTATATTATATATAATATAATATATATAATTATAATAATTTTTATATTATTTATAATAATTACAATTATTATATTATGTATTATTATATATATTATATTACGTATAATATATATAATAATTATAACAATTTTATAATAATGTCCGTGCATTTAGAACTTGTGCAGTCGTGCGAAGGCAAGCAAAACGCACACAGAGTTATGACAATTAGCTGACGAAACGAATCTCAATTTAAGTTTCTGCTTCTTTCTGATAGCTCCGTCTACGAAGATACGAATTTCCGTTTTAAAATTACTGGAATTTACGTAATTGTCGTTTGCAAAAGAACCTTCTTACTCCTGAGGGAAAAATAATTCTGAGAACTGTTGTTTCCTCTCGGAGATTCACTCGTGTTTGCTATTCCACGTGACTGATCCATTTTTCATTCCAATTGTTCTCTCAATTTTAGAGAATTCGTTCGTACGTTATTCTTTCGATTCGCTTTTCTTCGACGAGACTCGAACAACGATCCAGGAATAGGTTCACGATCCTCGAATGGAAATGTGTTTCGTCACGTTTTCACTTGGAAACATTAATCAACGAAGCTATTCTGGATATTTAGAATGGCCGGTAAACTGACACGTGTCCCACTTACCATTTTCTTACCAATCGGAACGAGTTGCTCGTGCACAATTTTTCTCATTGACATGAAGGAAGCGAATTTTTCTCATTGACATGAAGAAGGTGAAATGAAGAGTTGGAAACAAAGGACAAAGATTAAATATTCCACGATAATTAACGGGAAATGTTACTTATCATTGCAACGACAACACAAAATGAATGTTATTTATCATTGCAACGACGAAAAATGAAATAATTGCTTAGAATAAATATATCATTTAGAATAAATGAATAAAAGATACGATCAATGGAAAATAGAATTTGTTTCCAAGAATGATAATGCAATCGACGAAACATTGAATATTAAAGAGACAATGAATCAAGGTGCAGAGTGAAATATATTTCCAGGAAAACGAATGAGAAACTCGTCTCGGGGGGGAAACAATGCAGAAACGAAATAAATATTCTAAAAAAGGAAAAAAACTGCTAACGAAGGAAACACGAAATGTTCGAGGAAAATTAAATAAATTAAACAATCGATGAAATAAAATACAAGAATGATCTTTCCAAAAAAAAATAAAAATAAAAAAATAAAAAAGTAAAGATAAGCAACAAGTAGAAATAAGGTTCGATCGAGGAAACGTTGACATAACCTCTGTCCACGCACGTATATGTACCTCCTCCTCGATCGAATGAAACATATATATATATATATCCAGGGAAATAAAATTTTGCAGTTAATTAATATTCGACGGAAGTTACGTTTAATCGTTGAACAGCTTTATACAATCGGAGCGTGGAGGATCGTGGCGCGATCTCCATAGACGGTCGCTCGGTCGTTTCTGGGTTTTTCCCTCCCAGCATGGTGATTCATTCACGCACGGGTTTGCTGCGCCAGTAACGAACGCAAAATCCAAAAAGGAGCCTCGAAGCCGCCGCGTTACGAATTAACCTAAACACTTTACAAATATGTACAATAGAAACGGAAAGGTCGGTGGCGGTTCGCGTGTGTAGATTTCGAGGCGCATACGAAACGAAATGTCGGTCGACGACTCGTCGAACGCGTTTCACGGGAGGAATTTCAAAGGGAATCTTCTTCTCGTGAATCATGCTCCTCCTTGTTGGACATGACGCACTGCTCGACCATCTCTCTCTCTCTCTCTCTTCCATCGCATTTCCATTTACATTCTCGCTTCTCTGCCTTTTCGCCAATGAAAACGCCGTCAGGAAGACTCTAGATTAAAAAATTGTAGATTTCCTTTCTTCTCGTTTCTGATTTAAAAAAAAAATTCGAAGACGTTCCTCTGTTTGGTTCGGAACAGCGGAACGTGGATGAATCGACGTTTGCGCGTGCGCGTGTACATAATTAAAATCGCTACAGGGATCGAAAACAGGAGCACTCTCGTTTCAAGGTGTGCTTTCGTCATCTCTGCGACGCTGAGATGACACGGAACGATTTCGTCTGTTGTTGTAACCGCACACCTTGGACATCTTTTGTTTACAGTAATTTGTTACAGTTTACGCATTTCTTGAAAAACAGGTTCTCGAGAACGAAGCCTTTATTTGAAGGAAAAGGATGAAATTTAACGTCAGAGATCAGTCAAACTTAGAATTTTGAGGAAAGAAAGCACGAAGAAGTGTTTCAAGAAATGTTTCGACTGCCGGATCGAACAAACATCCGCGTCGGTCGTGCGTTCTACGCTGATATGTTGAAAAGTCGTAGCGAAGATTCGAGGCTTTCGCGTGCGACGTCGTCATTCCCACTGTCGTTCTCCCGTTGGAAAAGAATCTTTTCTCGTGTGGTCGATAGGAAACGACGAGACAACGGATAAAATACGCGTTAGAGTTCGTTGCACGGGCTATAGCGAATATACGATGGAACAGAAACAACCGTAAAGTTGTCATTCTTCTTTTCAAAAACTCGGTCACACTCGGTCTCACTCAAAAGGAAACTCTCCGGAAATTTAAAGAACAAAACGAAAGAAACGTTGCTTGCCTTGATATTAAAAACTTTTCTTTCGATCGCTTCGCTTCGCGTGACATTTAAATATGAAAAAGAACCAGCGATGCGAAAATACGTGACACACTTTATGCACATACACAGTTTCGTAAGTCTCGTAATATCTTGTAAGTTAAAATTCACCGATACAAATTGACTAAAAAAAAGAGACAAGAAAAAAATTGCAATTGAAAGGTCGCTCTTTCGAGACTCGCTGTTACAATGATGATATGACCAAAACAATTTTCTTTCCAAGTCGAACAATCTTCCCAGTTGGGCAGCAATCTCGAAAGAGTCAGGCGAATTAATCTCGCAGTCGTTTACCTTTACGTTTGTTGCTGTAACGTGGTACGATTCATCTAACGATATAGATCCTTAGAGCTAAACGATGTGTATCTTCGTTAAACAAGGACGTTCAAGAATGAAGGATAATTCATAGAGTGGTGAGCATATAAATGGGGAGGAAATTTTCTCGAAATTTAGGCAAAATGTAGGTTCGTGTCTTGCCTTTTCCTTCTTTGGCCTTCGATTATTCGTATTCTAAGCCAACACACTTTGCAAATCTTCGTTTGTAGCGAGCAGGTAAATAGGGAAATCACAGTTCTTCCACACCCAGCGAGTATTGTTGTGATAAGAATCTTTGAATATTATGCACAGATACGTTGAATAGTTACAAATAATAATAGAGAATATCAGTTTTTTTTCATATAGAAATGGGTCGTGGAAATTTCCCCATTTACAGAATGAAAAATCGTCTTGGTATTCCAATTTAATGCCGTTCGTCAAGCGCTAAAGCACGTAAGAGTAAATGAAAGTGAAAATACTATTGGACGACACACCGTCTGTCAGAAGCAGATCGACCTAACCCAAACTGCAGTTGACATTCATCGCGAAATTTCGACTCGAATGAACACGCAAATTAGTGTGTTCACGTTGTCCGACGACGTTTAGCAGAATGAGATTAGCTTTCGCCAAAAGATCAGTCAGAGTAAAATATTTACAGATGAATCCAAATTCAATTGTTTGAACACGAAGAATAGGTGATAAGTGCACAAGATCGAATTAAAGAACAATTAAAGGAAGAGGAGGTTCTGTTATGGTCTGGATTGGAATGGCTATAAACAGTCTTGGTCTAATTTATGGCCCTATTAAATGACCATTATGGATCACTATATTGACATCCTGGACAAAAGTTCAATACCGTTCAATACCTTTTGCCGAAGAAGAACTTAGAGGATATTTCAAGCAGACAATTATCTTAAACACACATTAAGGCTAAAGGATTTTTGAAGGAACGTAATGTTAATGTTAATGCGTTGGCCAACATAATCGTCCATTGAATTCTCTGGAATTATCTAGAGAAGGGAATTAAAATGGTGAAACCTTCCGATTTAAATATTTTGCACGTTGTAGTCACGCTTGTAAATTCTGTGCTTGGGGCGATGAAACGTAACGGTGGCCCGACAAAATATTAATTACCAATTATCAATATGCTGTACAAGTAAGGAAATTTATATTTGAAAAGTGAAATAAGTTACTTTTTTGGAACAAAATCGATGTTACCCTATTTAGCTGCTCGTCCAAAGTTCACCCGGCTTTCAACATGTGCATCTTTTTGTTCAAAGATCAGACAATGTTAATTATAATTTGGCAGTGCCCCAATCTCAACGACAATAGGAATGTTTTAATTAATAAACTATTTATTTCCCTCCGCACACAATGGATTAAAATTCTTTTTACTACCAAACCATGTACTATTCCTCTGTTGATTATTCCCAGATTTTTCAAATGCCATGATTGGCATCTGTAACGGATCTGTGTCGAGTGCTTAGTTGTGTTTCTCAGTGACTTAACAGTTCTCTTAGTTTTAGCTCTAGTTATAAGTATGTAAATAGCAAACATGTATCTCAGTGTGGTTCTTGCAGAAAAGTTTGCGAAATTGTTTCCTGTACTGTTAGTATGCACGGCAATGTTCTGTAGCGTAAATGAAAAGAAAAAAAAAATTATACAAACTATACTCATAAACGATTAAGGTTAAGGAATCGTACGTTCGCAAACAGAATAGGAGAAATATTAAATGAAAAATACTTTTTTCCCTATTCATATGCTCGTCACTGTATATGCCAGACTGAATGATAAAAAATATATCTCGTTACAAAACTTCCTTCGCTGGGATAGAAATCATAATATCGTAAACGTAATGTTGACTTTTCACTTTTCGTGTCAATTGAAGTAGAACGTGCAACGGGAATCCCCTAGGAAAAGAGAAATTGTTAAAACGGACACGTTCCTTAAGCGTTACACGACGATGATCCTTATTATCGTTAATTGTACATAGAAATTCGGCGTTGTTACGTGGACGTAGTAGTATTTAGTTGATCTTCGATCATTCTCGAGGATAAATCAAACGCAGTAATCGCCACTCACTGGCGTTCGAACTAATTTCAGTGGTGTTTGAGTAAAATTTTATGAGATTGCACCGATACCCCCCCCCCCCAAAAAAAAAAAAAAGTTTCAGAAACATTAGTTTCAAACATTTCTGAAAAAATCTCGACTCTAACGGTGTGTGAATAATGAGATGAACGCGTGTCACTTAATTTTAACGATTCTGATCGTTTGTTGATTACAAAATTTGTCGTCGGGGATGGATACACGATGTCAACATGCGACAATCCTTTGAGAGGAATTTGGCGACGAGCGATCTCGGGATTTTGGGAAACGCGAGATTTTGAAAAAAGCACGAAAGAAAAGAACGTGAATAAACTGTCAGAAAATATCGGCAACGAATCTGCGATTCGTTCTGTCCAACTTCAAAACCAAAACCCGCCCGAGTTTATTTAAATCAAGATCATTCCAACACTGTCAAGTATCCTTTTAAAAAAATGCTCGAAAATTTCATCGCGCAAACAAATAAAAATCTACTACTCCGGGGACAATCGATTCCCATTGACAGTTCCATCGTTTCGCCGAGTTATCCCGCAAAAGAGAGTACCAAAGGATTGGTAAGAAAATCAAATAATTGCCTCGCGATCCTCAATCCCCATACGAATGCCACTGTCACGAGATCTAGCCTCGTTTACAAATACTCCAAATTACTCGAACATCTTACGAGCGTGGGCCAAACCGTCGTCCAGATTCCTCCCAGAGGATCTCTCGTGGCACGTTCGTTCTCTCGGTTTCAAACTGGCTCGGGGGCGGTCCCGGAAGTAGTCCCAGATCGAAGAGAAGTCAAGTGGTTTCGTTGGTGGATTTCTCGGTGCCTCAGTAGGCTCTCAGTCTGACTTCCATTTCGGGATCTTGCCGGTGGGTGAGATGAGGCTCGATGGCTCCGGCGGCACCGGCGCCAGTTCCGGTCACGTGGTGGCCGTGGTGGCCGTGATGATGATGGTGGTGATGGTGGTGATGGTTGAGATGAGGCGGCTGGGTAGCCCCGGTTCTGTACGCCCTCTGTTTCTCGTCGAAATCGCGCACCCGTTGATTGTAACGTTCTAGCTGATCGCGTAGAAGAGCGTCCTCCTCGGCGGCTCGTTTCTCGTCGTACTCCAGGCAACCGACACCGTCCAACCTCTCCAAATCGATCCATCCGCGCCACATCACGCACACTCCGTTCATTATCAAGCGAGATCTGAGGTGCACCTGCAAGCACACACGTGGATGGTATGTTTATGTGAATTACATTGTCATATTTTCTAGATTTCTAGGTAAAAAAAAGTAATCACGTACACTAAGGTACATGTATTTTACAGGGAGCAATTATACAGGGTGTAACAGGGTGGCACAAGCGGATTCTACGTGAAAAACTGGATGGAAATTGTAGAATGAAGTTTTTCTCGCACGATGCTTCGTCTGCGAGAAAAATAGGCTCGAAAGGTTCGTCGAGTACGCGTGCGCTTGATCAGGATTCAACTCAACTTATTGGAAGACGTTCCTCTTGAAATTCGAGGGAATTTAATTCACCGTCGCGTCTCAGTCGTGAAGTGAGGAATTTTTTAAACGAAAACTACCAATATCGGATCGACCGCAATGGAAGAATAATAAAATGGCCACCACGATCTCCGGACCTGTCACCGCCTGGATTCTTACGTGTTAAATCTATGGTGTGTTCCAGCGAACGTTGAACAATTAAAAGAAAAAATTATTATAGCGTTTGCAACATTGAAACTACAAAATACAACACATTAGAAAATGTTCGTAGGAATTAAATAAAAGGAGCACGTGGACGTCATTTCCAACAATTTTTAAACTAAGAGAAAATTGGTGGAAAGCAGACATTCTGTGCTTTCTAAATTTTATTCCATATTTTATTATTCAGTTTTTATTTTTCATACAGAACCACCACTTTCCCGCTTGTACCATCAGTTACGCGACACCCTGTAGATCTGCTAGTTTATACTTCGCCACGTGGCTCTAAAAGCAACTTATATTATTTGCAAGTGTCAAAGTTTCAAAGCTTATGGATTGAAGCATGTTTCTGTTTTCCTGTACGATTTCAAATTCATGATACCTAATATGACCTGCCTACGTATATCTAATATACATAATATGTTCATGGTTTCTAAAAAGGGAAAGTAAGAAACAATGAAGAGATATAATACACAAGTGTGGAAATACGAGTTTAGTTACTAATATACAATTGGTTCGAATCAAGTTTATTGATATAACTATAAATATAAATATGGGCGGAACAAACAGTCAAATGGAGTTTGAGAGGAGATTGTAACAGACAAATAAATGGACAACAAGAAGTGTATCTATTAATCTGTTCTATCTATTAATATTGAAAATTTTAGAACATTAATAGATAAAATATATAGAATAGTATAGAACAGTATAGAATATATAGAATATAGAATAGTATAGAACAGTATAGAATATATAGAATATAGAATAGTATAGAACAGTATAGAATATATAGAATATAGAATAGTATAGAACAGTATAGAATATATAGAATATAGAATAGTATAGAACAGTATAGAATATATAGAATACAGAATAGTATAGAACAGTATAGAATATATAGAATATAGAATAGTATAGTATAGTATAGAATATATAGAATATAGAATAGTATCGAATAATATAGAATAGCATAGTATAATATAGAATAGTATCGAATAATATAGAATAGCATAGTATAATATAGAATAGTATCGAATAATATAGAATAGCATAGTATAATATAGAATAGTATCGAATAATATAGAATAGCATAGTATAATATAGAATAGTATCGAATAATATAGAATAGCATAGTATAATATAGAATAGTATCGAATAATATAGAATAGCATAGTATAATATAGAATAGCATATCTATTAATTTTGAAACTTTTCACTATGAAATTTCGAGTCTAACGCGAATCTAGACACGTCGAACGAGTCGGAGGGGCTGATTTTTCTCGGTATCTGCTCGAAACCTAGCTGTATATATCGTCGGCCTCGCAATTTCATCTCTCCACCGGAGCTTGTACCTTCCAATCTGCGTAATCGTTCTCTGGAAACAAGAAACGTTCGCGGTACGGGGCGGAAAGGGGAGAAAAACATGATTGAAAGTCGAAGGCGGATCGCCAGGTTTAATGGACCCCTTCCACACGGTTGTGCATCGAAGGTTGTGCACAAAGCTCCTCGAGGAATGGAAAAGGAGCAGAGATTGAGACACGTGTCTTTAACGGAACAATCTCAAGCACGTTGTACGTAAGAGTTTCTTGTTCCATCAGCGACTACACCGGCAATCTCTGGTATTTTAATTACCACTCGCGTTCTCTTTGGACTCTTTTAAAGACGTTTGATCCAGAGTACAATCGAAAGATGAGGAAGAACGAGTGAATCCTTTTTTTTTTAACTAATCGTCCACTACGTTACTTTTGCAAGAATCGAAAATTAAAAATTGAAAGACAAATGGATTAGAAGATAAAACGAAAAGAAACTTGGTTCGAAAGACGAAACGATCACAACAGTGCACCGTGTTTTGAAAATTGTAGTCAAGTTTCCTAAAGGAATGTATATAGACAGAAGTTTGGCGATTTTTATTATCCGATTTTTATTGTCGAAGTTTCTTGAAAAATTTCGAGATAAAGCTGAATAGAAGCGTCGGATCGAAAGGTTCGATTATGTAGAGAATCGTAAGAAAAGTAAAAGCATCGCAAAAGGATGGCGATAATGACAATTTTACGGTTTGGACACGACGTTGACCAAAAAACGATTTATACGAAGGAACAAAGAGAACGGGAAGAAAAAAAGAGAGACAGAGAGAGAGAGAGAGAGAGAGAGAGAGAGAAGGGTCGAGCCGTCGGCCCTCGAAAATGTCGAAACGGCCAATTATCTCTGCCCTGGTTCAAGAGGGTTATTTTATTTCCTGGCAAATGGTCCCGTTTCCGGTCACGTTGTAAAACTTAGAAAACTGTTACGGAATCCAACCTCTAACTATAAAAACCGATTTTACAGAAGGTTCTCCCGTTCCATTTTCTCGAATGCACCGCTTTGGAAAGTCGTTTTTCACGAGTGAAATTCTTCTCTCCTCTGCAAGAATGACAACACCGAACTGTGACTGAATGGTGGCAAATAGTGAAATGTTGCTGACAAATGGTAAACAGAGAAATTGTTGAACGACGAGACAGGGAGGCGTCGAACGAGAAAACCATCGTTAGTCGCCTGGTCTCTCCTGTTTCTTTTTTTTTTTTTTTTTTT